GTAGGGAAATAGGGTAGGGCAGTCCTATACTGTAAGAGCCATTTGTTTGGCATTGATCATGTGTTTGTACACAAAGAGAAGAGGCAGAAGGTAGTATCAGGGAGAGAACAATGGTATCAGGTTGCAACACACCTTTTAAGATCAGATCTTCCCTTAATTGTATACTTAGCACCTCCTTGAACACAGCAACTGCCTTTTGGGTTTCTACAGTATCCAAATACAGGATGCACCTGAAACAGTATAATATGAGCACGCACACAAGCAGTGAAGGAGATAACAGACAACATGCTGACTTGCACCGGGGATGAGGAGGGGAAGAAAAAGGATTTCAGAGGTGATCAAAATGCCATGAAGATAAATTTCCTTCTTTAAGGCTCGTCTACAAGAACGGCAACCTTCATAAGCACTCCACAGAAAGAAATTAAAAAATAAATCAATCTAAAACATAAATGAAGTATTATTATCCTCCAAGATATTTAGTGAATGAAATATGTCTAGACTCATTAGGAATGATCTCATTATTAGCTCTCTTCCTCTCAAAGAAAATTAAGCCTCTTGATTTCACTCCTCCATAGAGACTCTACCTTCTAGGAAGAGACCATCACCTTGGAATCTAGACTGTTCAAAGGGTAAATTCAACTAATTTCAGTGCTTTCAGTAACAGGTATCACCCTGGGCCCAAGGACCCTCCAGCAATACCTGTGGTTTTAGAGTTCTTCTCCTGGTATGTTTTACTCAAAGACACACTTCCCCTCCATTTCCGGCAAGGAAGGCCTGTAAAGAAGGTGAAACCAACCCTGCAGGAAGCTCAGAGGTCAATCACACAAAAAGTACCGTCAATTCACAAACTAAGAGAAGATTCGTATTGGCTTCTAGTCACGCATGTTTCTTCCCTCCACAAGCCTTCTCCTCCACAACTAGCATGAGGAGCACAAAATATGCTTTAAAGCAATCTTTGGTGCCTCTAATACTATATTCATTCACATCTATCTCCAGGGAATACAGAAGCCCACTCTCTACTAGGAAATGAACTGCAACTTATTTGTTACAGCTGCTCTTCTCACACACTTTACCTGATCTCCTCATGCAGTGAAGGACAAACATAACTGTATCCGAGGCCAGTGCATATGTCTTTCACCTATTTAAAAAAATATATATACCTCAACAACTGGTAACTAGCCATATTAAGCCATTTTTTGAGAAGCAACCTACATCTGATTTAAAATTCCTCGCAGAGTGGAAAAGACAAGTTGTTGAGAAGCCACACACCTATATTTGACAAAATAAAAGTTAACTGTGGAAAACATTACTATATTATACTCTCAGTATAGATCCACATTTCACCAGCTTGTAGCTTCTTGCAAAGATCCTTCTCACTTTCACTACTTTATTACGCACCTTCTTTGATATTTTCAATCTTTGTTTTCCCTTCTTCTTCTTCCACTAAAGAGCTATGAATTTATTAACCTGTACTCTAATACTATAGGAACTAAGATTTTTTTCTTCTAACCTCAAATGCTTTCAAATTAATTCTAATTTGAGGTCTCAAAAGAGGGAAAAACATTAACTTGTTAACTTTTACCAACCTAATTACAGACCAAAAAAAACCAAAAAACAGGCAAACTTTTCTTATTATCCCACACTTTTGACAGTTTAAGTGTAAAGCATTGATCACTTCCCCTTACTAAGTCAGGAGAATATCATGCTATTATCCATTACTATGTTTGGCCTTTTAAAGTCATAAGCATACCCTAACTATCAGAAATTCAAGAAACAAGCATAATGCTACACTGCTTTCCTGGCAGGCCCTTTCATTTAATTATACAGGCCCTCTCCTTTAAATAGCACCCAAATACTTCATGGGTGGATGATAACCCCTGGTATTTCAACACTAATACCAGCATCCAGAGCATCCAACATAGTACCATATTGTTCTCTTCGACTAACAAAAGTATCAACCCATTCTTCCTACAGAATTCAAATACCAAAGGAAAGAAAATGCGTTATTGCACATCCTTTCAGCCAGCAACAGTTACCATATTTTAGTGGACTAAAACTGTAAGCTTCTAAGCACATTCAAATTGTCTAGCTTGACAGAGACTAAGAGGTGAGGCATTGCAAACAAAAAAAGAAACCAAAAACAAAGTTACCAGCCAACACCACCACCTCTTTTGTGCTGCTCTCTTCGCACTCGAGCAAATGCAGGCTACTCGGACAATATCCTTAAACAAGAAGACAGAAACAGAGCTGGCGCAAGCCTAAGCGCAACCTCACCCTGCAGCACCTCCACGGACCCCGTTAGACGGTCTGCCTCCCTTCCCTTTGTTTTGGTCGCTGAAGAGCACCACTGACCCCTGACTTGCTTGCCAGCGTCCGCCTCGGAAGGAGCTTCCTCCCCCTCCCCCAAAGGCCTCCAGGGCCCCCCGCGCCGGAGCGGGGCCCCTCGCACC